GCCACACTAAACTGTGGTTTGTTGCAACCTTGCATTTAAGCACTAGCATGGTAGGCATAAGTTAGCAGGAACTGCATGCAGGTAGTCAGTGTTAGAAACTCAGAAATATAAGCTAATCACCAAAAGCCACCTTAAACCTAGGTTATGGCTGGCACCACCGAATGTCTAGATGCTTTTTTTTTTTTTTTTTGGCAATGGCATTTATTATTATTTACAGTGGTACCTCGGGTTACAGACACCTCAGGTCACAGACGCTTCAGGTTACAGATTCCGCTAACCCAGAAATAGTACCTCAGGTTAAGAACTTTGCTTCAGGATGAGAACAGAAATTGTGCGGCGGCGGCAGCAGGAGGCCCCATTAGCTAAAGTGGTACCTCAGGTTAAGAACAGTTTCGGGTTAAGAACGGACCTCCGGAACGAATTAAGTTCTTAACCCGAGGTACCACTGTATTTCATTTCTATACCACTTTATACTTTAAAGGGAATTCAATCTCAGAGTGGATTACAACATGTTAAACCATCCAATAAAACAATGCGGAATAAAACAAATGCAAGTTTCAATATTTCAGATCCTTCTTGATGTGACATTTTGCTTTCCCCATATTTATTTACCTACTTAATTTATAGAACCGAAGTACAGTTGTACCTTGGTTCTTGAACTTATTCCGTTCTGGGAGTCTGTTTGACTCCTGAAACAGTTCAAAAACCAAAGTGCCGTTTCCGATTGGCTGCAGGAGCGTCCTGCAGCCAATCGGAAGCTGCACTGGACATTCGACTTCCAAAAATGGTTTGAAAACTGGAGCACTCACTTCTGGGTTTTGATTGTTCGGGAGCAAATTTGTTTGGGAGCCAAGGCATTTGAGATTCAAGGTACGACTACTCTAGGAAGCCTGTGTTGTTAGTGGTTAGAGTGTTGGACTAGGACCTGGGAAACCAAGGTTCAAATCTCCACTCAGTCATGAAGCTCACTGGGTGATCTTGGGCCAAGCAGCCTCTGAACCCTCCCTCACAGGGTTGTTGTAGGGATTAACTGAGGAGGGGAATGAACCATGTACTCTTTGGAGAAAAAGGTGGGAGATAACTGCAGTAAATAAGCTCTTCTGCTTACCTGCTTGAAAAAGCTGGAGGGACTAGCTAGATGGAGATGTCCACCACCAACTTGGACTCCAGAGATTTCTGTGTGGTCGCAATCGGCCCCGCGCCACTTGCAAAACACACCTGGCGCCTGGCTGATTTCTAACGCTGCAGGTGGTCAGTGGAGTTGAATGTGAGCGACTGAGAAGAGCAGGCTGCTGGAGGAGGGATGGAGTTTTCCGAGAAGTCTGCCGGAGTAGGAAAGCCCTCTCCTCCCCACATCTCACAGAAAGCATAGGACCCGAGGAGAAGCAATCCTGTTCAGAATTCAGGAAAGCAGCCTTAGGAAAGCAGCAGGACAGGGAGGCAACTGCCCTCTCCATTTCTTTCTCCCCAGCAAGTGGTCTTCAGCACTTTGACCCCGGAGGCTGATCCCAGTTCTACGACCCTCTTTGGGTCCCTTGCCATCTCTCCCATGTCATTTATATGGGAATACAGCACAAGATATTATGGGCTGTCCCATGAATCCGCTGGATGAAATGGCGGGAGAACGTTGCCTCAGGAGAGTGAGGAAAATTCTCAGGGATGATTCACACCCTGGCCAGCACTTTCTTGATCTCCTGCCCTCAGGCAGAAGATATACAGTGGTACCTTGGGTTACATAAGCTTCAGGTTACATACGCTTCAGGTTACAGACTCCACTAACCCAGAAATATTACCTCAGGTTAAGAACTTTGCTTCAGGATGAGAACAAAAATCGTGCTCCGGTGGCGCGGCGGCAGCAGGAGGCCCCATTAGCTAAAGTGGTGCTTCAGGTTAAGAACAGTTTCAGGTTAAGAATGGACCTCCGGAACGAATTAAGTACTTAAACCGAGGTACCACTGTAGAAGCATGATTAGTCGCACCAATAGGGTAAAGAACAGCTTCTATCCGTGAGCTGTTAGGCTGCTGAATGAATAGATAACAACAGGGCAACTGACTTTTGGATTTGGTGGGTTTGCGTCCGTAAACGAGGGGAATTAAGACTAAGAGAGCTGAGTGGGGGGTGCTGGTGTAATCTCACTGTATACAGGTTGTACAAGTGACAATAAAGTATTTCAATTTCAATTTAGCTGCAGTTTCCTCTCCTTTTCTCAGACCTCCTGAGGACTCCGCCTGGGACCCCAACCCTCCTGTCGAGGCGAGCGGCCCCGTCCAAATGTCAAAGGGGAATCGAGAGCCAGGGCTGAACCACATGCATGCTAAGCCAGCCAACCCAGAGGCTCTTCCTGCGGTCACTACGAACAGCTTCCTGTACGGGGTGTCGCTCCCCGCGCAGATCGCCATGGAGATAAAGCAGGAGGGTCCTTCCGGACGGCACGGGATGAGCACAGCCAGCGAGATGCTGAGGCCCCGGCTGTCAGGAGAAGCGAAGGTGCCCTCGCCACAGGAGTTCGGTGACTGCTGTGGTAATGGCCTTAATGTTTGCTGTCCAAGGCGTGGCTGGTTAAAAGCCTACGGAGAGGCCCTGAAATGCCTTGGATCGGGACTTAAAGTGGGCTGGGGAACAAGGAATCCTGTCCCGGTGGCTTTTGTAGCATCGCAACTGCAGCTGTGTCCCCCACGATGCCTGCAAAAGGCACAGGAGCCACAGCTGAGCTGGTAGAGCATGGAACTCTTAATCGCATGAAGTTTGAGCCTCACGTTGGGCAAAAGGTTCCTGCATTGCAGGGGGTTGGACTAGATGGCCCTTGTGATCCCTTCTGACTCTACAGATCTATGATTCTAGATTGAGCTCCGTTCAGAGAACCCAGGAAAGCTCACTTCAGGGTTTGCAGCCCAGTATTGCAACATAGGAAGCTGCCATATGCTGAGCCAGACTGTGGGTCCATCTAGCTCAACATTGTTTACACTGACTGGCAGCAGCTCTCCAGGGTTTCAGACAGGGAGTCCCCTGCCTGGGGTTGCCGTCAGGGACTGAACCCGGAGCCCTCTGCCGCTGAGCTACGGCCCTTTCCAAACGGGAAGCTGAAATGGGGACGTGGTCTGGAATAAGCTCTATTTCTCCTTCTAGCAGCAGGAAGGCAGATTCCCATGCTTTCAGGAGGTCACACAACCCCTTGTGCAAACGCTGATATCACCCCATATGACGGTGGTTGCTAATAGGCAAGGATCCCACGGCTCTGTTCAAATTGGATGTGAAATACTGCCTTCCAGGTCGAGCCACCCAATACTTGTTAAGGAAGGGGGGGCACAGATTCCCTGGCAGCTGCCAGAGGACGCTGCATGCTGGCACACAGGCCTGACTCTGAGCTGGAATAGCCTTAGCGGAAACTCGCATATCAGGTTAGGAGGGATGGAGTCCAGTCTTGTTTGCGCCCAACACTTTTCCATTTGTCCTTGCCATTTTGGATTCCCCCCCCCCAAATAAAATCTCATCTTTCTTATTCATTCATTCATTTATTTTTGCTTTCGTTCTTTCCTATGTCCAGGACAGAAATCTGCTCTCCCCGGCGGTCCACTCATCCAGAACGTACACTCCTCCAAACGCATTCTGTTTTCCATAGTACACGACAAATCAGGTACGCTTGCGAAATGGAGAAGGGGTTTAGGAGTGTCGGCGTATGGGTTTTAAATCACAGGGCCCCCCTTGCTTAGGAACCATAGAGCGACAAAGGTACGGCGTTTGGGCAGGCCCAGATTATTGGCAGAAGCTAAACCTATTCCAGAACAATCAGAATGGCAGATTTCAGGCCTGGGGCATTATTAAGTTTATTGTTCTTGGAATTTTGTTTCTTAGGAGGGGCTGCCACCTCTGCTCACGTTGCTTGCCAACCTGGACCACTCTGCTCCCTGCCAAATCGCCCCCCCCTGCCAACCCACTCCCCCTTTATACCTCACCCAACCCCACCGTCCCATCACATTCCCTTCATGAAGTGGGAGCACCACACTCGCAGCCTTGGCAGTGCTGCCGCTTGCCAGGCTCAAGACGGGGCAGAGCAGCGGCAACTGCAGACCCACACATGCTTGTAATGTCACTGGCACCCTGGTTCTTTCCCTGCATTGCGCCCTGCCCCAGTCCCACTGAGTGGCAGCACTACTGCAACTGGAAGGGCAGCGCAACGGCGCCACAGTTCATGCACCGCAGCCAGATATGCAAATGATAGGGTGTCCATGTCATGTTTCGCACCTTCATCTCTGCGTCAGTGTTGATGTGAAGAGGACTAAAAAGCTACGGCTGACGGCGCTACCTTTTTTATTTTTATTTTTTATCAAGCATAACAAACTCTCCCATTTTTAGACTCGCATACATCGTTTGTTTCTTCCTCTCTTCTAAGTCTGGTCATGAACTCAATGTTTGAAGTAGATGTGTCAATAATTACCTAGGCGCTTGGATAATCCTTCTGATATGAAATATTCATTTTGGATGTTTGGCAGGGGTCTTTCGTAGGAACGAATTGAGAGCATCGACCGCTTTGCATGCAGCGCCAAACCATAGTTTAGTGGCGCATGAGCGAGCCGGGGGCTCACGTCTTTCCTCAGCAAATTCCCTCCCAACCATTAGAGACTGCTTTATCCTGAGTCAGAACGTGGCGGTCCCTCTGTTCTGAGTGTTGTCTTAACTAATGGTTTCCAACCTTTTTGTCACATCAGCCCACGAGTCCACATTTACTGGACCCATCGGTTTATCGCCATGTGAATTTTGGATGCCGCTATTAACATGAAAATTTTCATAGAATATTTTTAGTACTTACAGAGTTAGTCACAGTTTGTTTATGAGTGGGGATGTGTGAACACCAGCCACCTGACTTCAGAATATTCCTGTGCATCAGAAGGGAGCTGCAGTAATTGCTCCCTGTATGAGCCCATTGTGGTGAATTGCCGCCACATCTTCCATCAGCCAGCAAAGAGCAGTTCCCAAGTCCTAAAACATATGACTGGGCCTTCCCGACCTAGCTCAGTTGGTAGAGCATAAGACTCTTAATCAGGGACATGGGTGGCGCTGTGGGTTAAACCACAGAGCCTAGGACTTGCCGATCGGAAGGTCAGCGGTTCGAATCCCCGTGATGGGGTGAGCTCCCGTTGCTCAGTCCCTGCTCCTGCCAACCTAGCAGTTCAAAAGAACGTCAAAGTGCAAGTAGATAAATAAGTTACCCTCCGGCGGGAAGGTAAACGGCGTTTCCGTGCGCTGCTCTGGTTCACCAGAAGCGGCTTAGTCATGCTGGCCACATGACCCGGAAGCTGTACGCCGGTTCCCTCGGCCAATAAAGTGAGATGAGCGCCGCAACCCCAGAGTCGGCCACGACTGGACCTAATGGTCAGGAGTCCCTTTACCTTTACCTTTAAGACTCTTCATCTCAGGGTTATGGGTTTGAGCCTTACCTTGGACGAAAGATTCCTACATTACGGAGGATTCCTACATTGTAGATGACTCTCGGGGCCCCTTTTAACTCTACAGTTCTGTGATTCTATGATGTTCAGCTGCAAGTTGTACGTAGCATCCATCATTAAGGAATAAAAGCAATTAGATGTGTACTTATACAGCCTGTGGCTTACTTGCACAGAATTTGTGACCCACTCAACCATGGGATTCACTGGGTGATTTGAGGCCAGTCACAATCTCTCCGCCTAACCTGCCTCACAGGGTTGTTGTGAGGAGAAAAATGGAGAAGAACCACGTATGCCACCTTGAGCTTCTGGGAGGGAAGGCAGGATGTTAAGCAATAATATACAATAAATAAAAATGACTGGGTTTGTCGTGTATTTTTGTAACATCGGTTGTTCGTTTGGTTTTCTGCACGCTGCTGAGGGAGATTTCTTTACGGATAAGGCCGTAATAGAAATGGTCTTAAGCTTAAGTAAATAAATGAATGGAGGTTGGAAGCCAGTTGCTGGGGAGAGCGTAGTTGAGTCCATGCTCTGGTTATGCGCTTCCCAGAAGAGGCGTCTGGTTGGGGATCAGGCTGCTGGGCTAGATAGGCCTTTGCCCTGATCCAGCAGCCAGTTGCTCCTCTTGGTGTTAACGTTGGGTGGTTTACAGTCACCGTTTCCATTTGCCAGCTGCAGGGTTTGCCTAAGGGAACTGTCCAGCACCCAGGATTTGAACCCGGTGCAGCTGGCACAATTGGAGCCTCCCACGTCCCCTCAAGCTCAGGCTTTCTCTCAGAGTGGGGAGGAACCACAAACCTTGTTCCCGAGGGCAGAGTGAGAGGGATGGGGAGCCTCTGTGCCGGAAATGCCATATGGAAACTTCTTGTTTTGTTTTTGCTAGATAAATGGGACAGTTTTATAAAAGAAACCGAGGATATCAACACCCTGAGGGAATGTGTGCAAATTCTGTTCAACAGCAGATATGGTGAGTGGATGTGAAGTGCATCTGCGGTGCTTATGGCGCGCATATCATTATGGAGAGATTTTCTGGACTTTTTTCCTGACTTTCTGGTGTTTCCCTCCCCTTTTCTTTTTCTTATTCTCTGATGCAGCATCAGGCACCATATGCTATGTGTCCCTTCACTTAATTGCTTTCTTGGCATGGCATTTTCCAGGCCCACAGCTTCTAATTAATGCAAATGTTTCTGGGGTGTTTTTTTTTAACTCGTTTGTATCAAGTCAGTACAGTGGTACCTCGGGTTAAGTACTTAATTCGTTCTGGAGGTCCGTTCTTAACCTGAAACTGTTCTTAACCTGAAGCACCACTTTAGCTAATGGGGCCTCCTGCTGCTGCCACGCCGCCGGAGCACGATTTCTGTTCTCATCCTGAAGCAAAGTTCTTAACCTGAAGCACTATTTTTGGGTTAGCGGAGTCTGTAACCTGAAGCATATGTAACCTGAGGTACCATGGTAAATGTGCAGTTGGCCTGAATGGGGTCTTCTGGCCTCCTCAGTGGAAGGCCTTCACGGAGTCAAAACCAATGGGGCAACAGCCACAGAAAGCCATCTCCTATATTTGAAGTGTTTTTTTTTTAAAAAACACCAACTCGTATATAAATTTTATGGAATAAATTAAATACATAATTTTTTTGGCCTGGTGCCTTCTAGGTGCCCTTTGAACTACAACTCCCATCATCCCTTGCCATTGGGTAAGCTGGCTGAGACTGGTGGGAGTTGGAGTCCCCAATGGGTGACTGGTGCTTCTCAAACTTGGGTCCCCAGCTGCTGTTGGACTCCAACTTCCAACATCCCTAGCTAGCAGGACCAGCGGGCAGGGATGATGGGAGATGTAGTCCCAACAACAGTTGGGAAACCAAGTTTGAGAAACACTGACAGAGGGCACCAAGTTTGGGAAGGCTGCCTTATGTCAGTGTCCTGCTAGGACCCTGCCCGTCTTTGAACTGATACAGTGGTGCCCCGCAAGACGAATGCCTCGCAAGACGGAAAACCCGCTAGACGAAAGGGTTTTCCGTTTTTGAGCTGCTTCGCAGGACGAAAATGTCTTCCGAGTCTTGAGATTTTTTTTCCGCTTCCCCCCCCCTTTATCTAAGCCGCTAAGCCTTTAATAGCCTTTTAGCAGCTAATCCGATAAGCCTTTAATAGCCGCTAAACCGCTAATAGCGCTAATCCGTTAAGCCGCTAATAGGGTTGCTTCGCAAGACGAAAAAAACGCTAGACGAAGACACTCGCGGAACAGATTAATTTCGTCTTGCGAGGCACCACTGTACTACATAAATTGCTGCCTTTATGAGTTTGGATGTACAGTGGTGCCTCGCAAGACGAAATTAATCTGTTCCGCGAGTCTCTTCGTCTTGCGGTTTTTTCGTCTTGCGAAGCACGGCTATTAGTGGCTTAGCGGCTATTAACGGCTTAGCGGCTTAGCGGCTATTAACGGCTTAGTGGCTTTAAGAAAAAGGGCAAGAACTCGCAAGACGTTTTGTCTTGCGAAGCAAGCCCATAGGGAAATTCGTCTTGCGGAACGACTCAAAAAACGGAAAACTCTTTCGTCTAGTGAGTTTTTCGTCTTGCGAGGCATTCGTCTTGCGGGGCACCACTGTATGCAGTTAGTACTGTGGTCCCCAAGAGGCTGCCCATGCATTGTGTTGCCTTCAGGAGCCCGCTGAGCAATCTTCCACTTCCAATATTTTCACTGAGAATGTGATTTGCCACTTTACCATATCGGTTGCCATTGAACTGAAAAGGATGGCCATAAATTAATGGATGATGACAATAATTTGTATAGCACTTCAGAGTATTTATTGAACTCATGGCACCCTGTTGGGCACCTTAGTTTCTGAGCACAGGACATTATATTCCAACTTTCTCTGTTATTATGCCAATGCGACATGTTTGAAACATGGCCAGGGCTTACTGACAGGGCAAAGCAGCATTTAACTTTCAAAAAACTTTCCCTGCAGGGAAAACTGGGTTCATGCCAGTAGCGGACCCAGTTTAACAGTGTTTGCTGTTAAGAGTGTCCTGTCTGTTCTTACCCTTTAAAGGTTAAATGTTCTGTCACTTTCAGCTGAAGCTTTGGGGCTCGATCACATGGTCCCTGTCCCGTACCGGAAAATTGCTTGCGACCCGGAAGCGGTAGAAATCATCGGCATCCCTGACAAAATCCCATTTAAACGGCCCTGCACCTACGGAGTCCCCAAACTCAAGCGGATATTGGAAGAGAGGCACAACATCCATTTCGTCATCAAAAGGTATGTGATTGTTTTGAGAGGCTCATGAGCAGGGGGACCGCAGAGAGCCAAGAGGTGGGCTTCACTCTGCGGGACTCAAAAGCAAGCTTTGTGAGAGGTTCTTCTTTCCCCAAAATTGCTGTTTCTCCTTTATTTTAAAATATTTATATACCATTCGTCATGAAAATGTTTGCAGGTGGAGTGCAAGAATACTAAATATACAATAGTGTTAAAAACATATTCAGGAGGTGAAATATTTAAAATCATAAACCACCCAACATTGGGGTGCTTCTGCAGCAACGGGGAGGCGGGATGTCTGGGCACTTGCAAGGGTGGGCCGCCTCTTTCTTCTCTACAGCCTGAGGCGGCTGCCTCCCTCTCCATCATGGATGGGACGGCTCTGAAGTGCCGTATTTTTCACCCCATAGGACGCACCGCCCTATAGGACGCACCTAGGGGTTTTTTTTGGGGGGGGGAAATAAAGAAAAAAAATTATTTCCCCCCCAGGCACGGGGCTGGCGCGGGGGAAGCCCAAGCTTCCCCCGACCCCAGCCCCCAGAACAGCCTGCTATCCGCAAGCCTAGGGAGCCGCGCCGGTCTCCCCAGGCTTGCGGACAGCTGCGCAAAGCCCGGGCGCGCTCTTCAGCGCGCCCGAGGCTTTGGAATGCAGGCAGCTCTGCGCAACCCTCCGGAGCCCGGCGTGGCTTCGCGCTGGGCCCTGGAGGGTCGTGCAGAGCTGCGCAGACCCCGGGAGGGCAGGCAGCTCTGCGCGACCCTCCGGAGGCCGGCGTGGCTTCGTGCCGGGCTCCGGAGGGTCGCGCAGAGCTTCCTGAAGCCTGTATTCGCCCCATAGGACGCACACACATTTCCCCTTCATTTTTGGAGGGGAAAAAGTGCGTCCTATAGGGCGAAAAATACAGTACAGCCACTGAGGTTACTGAACATTACTAACTTAAACCCATTCATTCCCGTGGATCTGTTCTGAGGGAAACGTAGTTGGATACAGACCATTGTTTTCCTAAATTGTCTGCATACTTTTGTTTATTTTATTCACACCCCACCTTTCCACCCCTCCTCATTTAATCCTCTCAGCAACCCTGTGAGGTAGGTTTAGGCAGAGAGGCGGTGACTGCCCCAAAGTCGCACCATTTGTGGCTAAACAGGGATTTGAACCCTGGCGTCTCCCAGGTCCTTGTCTGACACCCTAACCGCTCTGCCACACTGGCTGGCGGCAAGGAAGGGTGCAGATAATGTAAACTTTAATGCGCTTTCCTTTAAAATTCCACTGCCAATATTGGTTCCATACCCCTGCTATATGGTTACAAATGAACGTGGTAAAGATGGTGGCAATAATCTGATTTAGCTTATTCTTGTTTTTAATTAGTGCTGCATGGTTGGTTGGGGTGTGTGTGTGTTTGTTTTTAAAAAAACCTGCTTTTAACCATCTGTATTGATCATTTAAACATTTTACTTTGTCATGGAAATCCCAAAGCAGTGTACTAAAAACAATCAAGAGCAGTATGTAAATTGTATCGAGTCAATAAAATGGCCGTTGTGGTGACCCCCCTAAGGCCAGAGCACAATCTACCAGTTGAAGATCCTAAATGAAATCTTGAATTATCTTTACCCACTCTCTTCCCTCCTCCTCCTCCTCCTAAATTGTTGCCTTTTCTTTTACAGGATGTTTGATGAAAGGATCTTTACAGGTACGTTGGGCATAGTCTTTCCTTTGGGGGAAGGGATGGTAGCTCAGTGAGTAGAGTGCATGCTTTGTCTCCCGACAAGTCCCAGACTCAGTCTCTAGCATCTCTCAGTAAGGATGGGAAAGGCATCTACCTGAGACCCTGGCAGAGACCAGGAACCTCTTGCCCTCCAGACTCTGTTGGAATACAGCTCCCATCCTATATAACTATTGGCCTTGCTGACTGGGGACAGTGGCCCTCCAGTTGTTTCTGAACTATGACTGCCACCATCCCTGGCCATTGGCCATGCTTTCTGGGGCTGATGGAAATTGTATCTCAGCAACACCTGGAGGGCCATTATTTTCCCAAACCTGCTTTAAGCTGACTAACCGCATTCTCACAATGTCCCATTTCCAAGCCAAGTACCAGCTTCCAGTAATTTTGGGAGGTGACCAGAATATGCTCAGCATTTGTGCAGTTTACCTTCCCAAATCCGCTGGGAAGAATTTGGACCTTTCCCTCCATATTGGGGCATTTGATGCCCAAATCTCTTTCCCACATAGCTTTTGATTTTTGATTTGATATTTCTATTTTGCTTTTCCAACAACAAACGCTGAACTCAGGGCGGCTCACAATGATCACAAAAAGCTTCAAAAAACAAAAAAACCCCATTATAATCACTGTGCTATCACTCACAATAACATATAAATAAAGTAAACAACAACAGGTTCACCAAAGTGATTAATACAATTCAATAAAGTCATAGCAATTCGAAATATCCCTCCCCCATAGCTATTAAACTAATCTGTATGAATGGCAGACTTACTGGGTAGAGATAGGGAGAGGTTGTGCCTGGCCATGGGTAATTATTGGTTCAAAACTCTGCGCCTGCAAAATATCTGTTTGTTCTTCCTTCCTTACAACCAGGAAGTAAATTTACCAAAGATTCAACCAAGATAGAGCCATCCAGCCCTTCTGGGGAAATCTCTCCTGACCCGCACAGAATGGCGTTTCTTGATCTAGCAGGAACTTCACAGTCCAGTCATAGGTAAGCCTGTCTTACCCCATATCAAATCATAGAGTTGGAGGGTCCTGCAAGGTCCTTTAGTTAAACCCCCTCCTTGATGGCTGGAAACACTTCCTCAAAAACCCAAGGTTCCCAGTTCCTGGCCCAGCTGCTATATTATAGTCATAACCAACCTTGCACCTTCCAGATGTTGTTGAATTGCAACTCCCATCAGCCCCAGCCAGCATAATCAGTGGTCAGGGATGATGGGAGTTGTAGTCTTGCAACATCTAGAAGGTGCTAGGTTGGGGAAGCCTGGTGTCTTAGTGTCTCTAATTTGCTCCGGCCAGCATGTTTTCTCCCTGGAATGCCAGTAGAGGGGAGGAAAATGTTATGTACTGAAGTTCTCACCCTGGGCCAGCAGGGGGATACTGTAGATAGTTTTCACTCAGGTCCACCTATGCAAATAAGGGATTGAAAGTGACGTTCAGTGATTGGATAGTTACAGAAAGTGATTACTGTTGCGTTGTAGTGGAACTCTATATAAGCAGGCTGGCTGAACCCTTCAGTTCTGTTCTGTTCTGGCCTGTGAATAAACCAGAGCTGTTTGAAGAATCGCTGTGTCGTCTGATATGTTCACCCACAACTTAACAGAAAACATGGCCGCCTCCAGAGTCAGTGACTTTGAAACCATTTTTTAAAAAATAAAACAGAGAAAAGAAAGGAAGCTTCTGCCGTGATAAGGGTGTCCTTCCCCATCACCACCCCAAAACCTATTTGGAGGTCCCCAAATTGATTCCTGAGAGACCACCATGTCTTTACCTGCTCCATGTTTAAATTCTTTAGAGGAGATTTTTCGATGGTTTTTCTCCCTGCCTAGAACTTGGGGGCATCCAATGAAGCTGTATGGTGGGAGATTCAGGACAGACGATAGAAATTATTTCTTCACGCTGTTTAAACTATGGAACTCCCTGCCACAGGTGGCTGGGATGGCCACCAGTCTGGGTGGCTTTAAAAGAGGATTTGACAAATTCACGGAGGATGAGGCTGTCTGTGGCTACTAGCCAGAAGGGCTGTTTTCTTCCTCCATAATCGGAAACATTATGCCTTATGTTGCTGGGAACCATGAGCTGTTGTGCTCATGTCCTGCTTTTTGGCTTCGCATTGTGGCCTCTGTCTGGCCACTGTAAGAACAGGATGCTGGACTAGATGAGCCTTTGGCCTGTTCCCTCTGTGCCGTTCTTGCGTTCTGCCGATCTCAGACTGCTTCTTAAGGATCTGGGATGCAGCAAGTGTGATTAAATCAACAAGTCATGCCAGAGGCAGGGAAGGCAGCAATACAGATAATAAGCTTATGAATCAATGGAGCGCTGGAATCTGATGGGTTGGGACTCGGTCCAACCATGAGCAGCACCGGGTGCCATTTAAGAATGTAATCTGATTTGCCTATGGTGGTGGACTTTTGGTGAATTATGAAGGTGAAATGAGCAGTGGTAACAGAGCAATCCTATGCAAGTGTGCTCAGCAGTCAGTAACATTAAGCACAACGGGGCTTTCCTCCATGTAAGAGGGCATATGATCGCAGCCTGTGAGTTGAATCCAACAGCCCAGCAAGAAAGGAGAATCTGCTGAGAGTTTGAGGGTCCTGCTCCTGCCTCTCTCCACCAGGTCTAGGGCAGGGCCTGACAGACTACAAAACCACTGCTGCTGCCAAGCAGAGATTACTGTTAACATTCTTTTCAACTGCTTTTTAACTGTGTTTTTAATTTTTTTAAAATTGTTTTAATGTTTTTTGGGGGGTATTCGCCTGTTTCTGTTTATATTTTGATTATGTATTTTGTGTTTTTGTATTGAGAATGTATCTTGTGAACCGCCTGCAGGTATAGGGCAGTATATAAATTTAATTAACAACAACAACATCTCACTGCCAGTTTGCTTAATTTTAGGTCTCGCCCTGAAATTTAAAGCCCTAATTGACTATTTATTTCATTTTAGTTAGTTATTAAATTTGTATATCGCCCTTCATCTGTAGATCTCAGGACTGGTTCAGAGTATTAAAATGCAAGATAAAAACTACGTTCCCAGATAACTGAAAGACCACCTGCTTCCATACAGATGATGCCATATGTCCGGAATTTTCATACATAGCCAGAATACAGCATTCGAAAGCAGTGTCCGGGTGGAAATCGCTGAAATGTCCAGCAAAATCCAGACGTATGGCATCCCATTTCAGAAGTCTAGATTCTGGCAAATTTCCTTTTTAAAAAAATAGATTTTGTAACAACTTTGGCCAAAAAAAACACCACAAATAAACTTTTGTGTCCGGATTTTCACTTTTTGAAATATAGCAACTCTAATACAGACCCTCCATTATGCAGAATGATGCTGTGTTTGCTCCTAAGGGTGAAACAAGGTCAAACATTGTACATTTTTTAAAAAATAATGAATCTCTGGAATTGCCTCTTTCTTTGTGGGCTGTTCATACCTGTTTGGTTGTACAGCACATTGTATCCCCACCCCAAAAAAATCAGGCACTTGATATAAATGAAATTTAACCATGATTGCTTTCCTTTGCCAGATCTGAAAAGTGCCCCATTTCTGGAGAATGTGAACCAGGTAAGCTGCAAACAGCCGCTGCTCTCTTAATTAGAAACGGGAAAAGGGAGTATGATTCTTAGGTCTTGCGAAGCCGTGTTGTCAGGGAACTGCCATCAGCTCAGAGGCGAGAGGTGGAAGGGCAGTTGTGTTATATGGAACCTCCGAAGATCTTGCGAAACAGTTCCTCCTCTGGCGAGGAGGAAAGCCCCGCCTCCAGTGGGGAGGAGGTGCAGGGACCAGGAGATGCTAGGGAGAGCCTCAACACGGAGCCTGAGCAAAGCGAAGGGGAGGCAAGTCCCCCTTTGCCAGCACCCACTCTGCTTAGTAGGTTTTGGCGCGGAGAGGGGAGGAGAAGGATGGGGGTCACACGGCTGTTATGCTGGGGGAGGTACAAGGACAGGCCACTCCCAGATTCTGCTAGCAACTGAGCCAGACATGAACTTGCGACGCTCTTCACTGTAAATAGTTTGCACTAATAATAAAGCTGAAAAAGACACGTTGGAGTCTTCCCTGTTTGCTCTCGAGCGACCGCATCACCACCTGACACGTGTGAAAGCAGGAGGATTGTCATCTTGCAAAAGCCCTGTACACAATGGTCTTCTCAGCTGCTGGGGAAATGCCTGCAAACCCCCCTTTTGACTGTATGACACTAGCTTCAAATCAAGTGGGTGTAGCTTGGCTGAAATGGTGTCACGGACCAAACGCAGAGCATTAACAGGCCTTATTAGCCCCATGGGTCGGAGATTCCTAAGCCCTGGCTTAAGACCCCAGAACTACCACATTGTGTCCTTTCAACACACTGCTTGAAGCAGTCAAGCAGCAGTTCAGTCGGTAAAAGCATAAGACTCTGAATTTCAGGGTCATAGGTTCGAGCCCACATTGGGGGAAAAGATTCCTTCATTGCAGAGGGTTGGACTAGAGGTCCCTTCCAACTCT